GTTTTGATTTAACACATAGCTACCTCTTCAATTTAAAAAAAAAAATCAAACCTGAATAACAATACAAATTCCCAAAAGTTTTATGGTTTAACTGTTAATTGATACGTTAAGTTACCTAATAAACTTACAGTGTATTTAGGAACCTCAAGCAAACTAAGAGGGCTACGAGGACGTGGCAATACAAAAAATTAAACGGGCAAAACAATAGCTTAGCGCGTGCATTTTAGAACTTTGTACATTTCTAAGCCGTCCTCTGTATGACCACAACGTGAAATAACCAAAGTTTGCATGGTCTGAGAACAGAACCGATGTGGCAAATGATTTCAGTTTCCATTTGGAACTCAATGCGGTAAGGGACGGTAAACACATCCAGTCTTTTGCAAAATTCTAACTACAACATAAATTCATTTTTTAATCGACACCTTCTTCGGCGTTTCCGTCCTAACTGCAGGGCGTGAAATTAATTTTTTTCAGATAGCCACTTGGCTCCTAAATTCTTCAAAGTGGTAGCCAATTCAAAAAAAGTTGGTCGCCTTTTTCAAAGACAAACAAAACCTTTTGTTACGCTGTCAGCTTTTTAGATAGACCCTTCAAAATTAAGGGCCTGTTCACATGGAGTAAGGGGAACCCAGTTAGGTGAGGTAACCCGCCTAGCCGTGGTCGAAAAATAAAACGCGTTTACATGCAATCTTACAACCCCGGGGTGCAGGGGTGAGGTTTCTTGAGGTTGTTGTTGCGCTTGCAATTAAGGAGTTTGAGTAGAGGCGTCCCAAGCTCACATCTCGAAAAAGACGAAAGATTAATTCTCGGACACATGTATTTATTTATGAAAGCGAGCGAAAGGGAATTGTGTTACGTGGTGTTTGGTTTTGCGAGAAACCCTTGACTTAATACGTTATACAGAATAGTTTGGGAAACCAATTATGGTCGATTTACAACGCTAAATATTGCGAAATGTGAACATTTTGCACTCCTTGTGTGTCCGTTGCGGTTTCTGGTAATTTCTGTCATGAGACAGCTAGGAAATGTACAAAGTTTTAAAACATACATGTTTCGCTTTTGAGCTTTTTACCATGAATGCGACCCCAGCTAGGCGGGTTACCCCACCTTGACACGTTTACATGGCAAATTGTCACCCCGGCTGACAGGGTTACCCTACCTGGCAAACCGGGCAACCCGCCTAGGCGGGTCACCCCACCTATCATGTAAACGTGATCAAAATAAAATAAGAAATTGTATGGACAGGCGGGTTACCCCACCTAGGCGGGTTACCTCACCTACCCGGGGTCCCCCGCCTCCATGTATACAGGCCCTAAGTTAGGGAAAGGATCTTTAACGTGCTACAAAGTGGACACTAGGATGGATGACATACAACGTTCAAGCTCATCTAAATTCAAGATGGTGTCTAGTTATCGATCGAGGTGCATGTGCTGCCACTGGAAACAAAATTAACGAGGAAGTTTGCCGCGGATTTATCTGTATCTTTGCAAATCTTTTTAATTCAATATATCTCTTGGCAAAGTTATGATGAAACAATCTAATCCGGCGGCGCCAATTTGGCGACTAATCTTCAGGATTTGGTTGCTAAAGTGAAAACTTTAGTCGCATTGGCGTCTGTATTAGGCACAATTTCACGCCCTTAGGGGGTGAGGGTGGGGGCTGCACGTTGATGACACAAGGTCATACATCGGGAGCGCAAATTGATGTGTAAGTAGACGATGAATGCAATGCAAAATACAGATACTTCTTTGTAGTGATATAAATTTGTTTACGAGAACAGAAATACAGAGAAATTGTTTACTAGCACCAAACATGTCAGAGCTTGTCTTTGCAATCAAAACGTTGAAAAGTTCCAAGTCCGTAAGCTCCCCATTTGAACTTTATGACAAACTAACCATTGAGAGAAAAAAATCGCACATCACATAACCTTTATGTACAGTATTTAAATGTAATTAAAACCACTCGTACTTGTTAAAAGTTTCCAGAGCATTGTGGAGACCTAGATTAGAAATCAAGTCATATTTGGTAGCGGAGCATTATTACACGTGCTTTTCAAACAAATTATATATTTTCCCATTCTGATAAGCTCCGGCCTCTCTAATATACGATATACGTCATCCTTTGGTGAAATACAACCCCCAACGGAAATCTTCCCACATCTACCATGGAAACTGGTTTAAGATACTACCACTGTGATCATGGAGGATGATGAAAGGAAAATGAAGGAGACATATATTCTCACATATTCCATCGGGAAGACATCCGGGGTTTATCTTAGAATTTCGCAATATTAAACTAAAGAGAAAATCTGGTAGAAAAAGAAAGAGAAACAACCAGGACGACAAGTATAAATATTTTATTTCTCAGGCCCTGTATAGTAAAAGTATTGAATGTTTATCGAATATTCTCCAGCTTCTCTGATATAGGTCATCCTTTAGTAAAATGCAACCACTCCCAGTTGAGTTATGATGCTTGTCACATTTGCTTGTTTTCCCAAGTAATAAGAAGTCAACTTAAATTAAACCTCAACACAAGTTAAAACTAAAGTATTCCTGCTTATTTTCTCCTGTAGATGCAGCAAGCCTTGATATCAGCTCGGAAAGTGTGCTTTGTTACTGATGTGCATTGCTGAATTGCAAGGAGTTAGCGTATTAGTTTCGTCGTGATATGCCAAGGGATCAGCTACCTGGCAAGTATTTCAAGATTCTGATTTTTTTCATCACTTTAATGATTACATGCAGGCAGGATTGGTAGACTCAAAATTCGGTCACCAACTTAACAAAACTAGGACAAAATTACAGAGACAAGATACCCATTGGTTAAACGTATTCATAAATGAAAACATAGTCACTGCCACATAACATGCTATTTAGAGCGCTTTGCAATGGAAAGTCGTGAAACCAAAACCAAAGTTATCCAGGCGGCCAATCAGACGAAAGGAGAAAACCTTTAAGAGTCAATGAGAACTTAAAATAAAAGCAATCAAACGGCCTAAAAGGCGGGAAAAAAAAGCAGACGACCATTTCGTGATTGGTTTTAGTTTTGCGTCTGATTGGTTGAGAGAATGGTGGAAGTTCTCAGGACCAATCACAAAGCGATGTCGGATTACTTTCGACACCCAACTTTAAAGGTAAATACTATTGCTTTGATACATCGTCGAAGTACAATCATGATACGCTAGCTGTCCAATTGGTGCTGAAAACCAATTACGTTCTAGAATTTGATATCGGTTTGATTACAGATGAGAACATTATGTTAAACCCAAAGGTAACCCTTTGTGCGCATGTCCTTTCTTATCACAGCGACAGTGCATAGACGTGCCGATTGTTCTTGGAGTAAAAATTGCCGAACTCAGAGCACCAAACCACTTCATGCAAGGTAAGGCTCTAGCTAGCGATAGTCATGCTAAGTTATGCTCTCATTTCAGTGTCTGGTTGGAGGAAAAAGTGTTAATATTCAGCGTACTTTGTGTTCTTTTTGTTTTCAGTCGCTTCAATCACATTTGTGAGCAGAAAAGATTTATATAGCTGAGATTATCTCCATCAGCAAGAAGTTTGCCCAACAGTTTGCCGGTACCTATCATAATGCAAACATATCCCGGCATACTTTTTAAACTGATATTATCTTCGAAAGTGTATACTTCATTTGCATCTCATGTTTATTTGAATAAAAACGAGACAAACAACTCTGACAAATTTGGTCAGCACTCACCAAATAATTATCAAATATGACAATGCTGCATGCATATTTACAAAAACTTTAAGAAATGATGTTCTGAAAATTGAACTCTTTATACCTTTACACATAGTTGTTTGATTTATTTTCTTGCAAAAGTTTTCAAAAGACGATGAAATATAACGAACTAAAAGTAATAAACAACGCCCGGCTTTGAAGTTATGAAACAATTAAAAAGATAAAAGACTGTGTCGCCCGCATTGACAATGATTTGTTGAATAAAAAAGAGAATCCGAGTCAATGTCACGATTTTAAGTCAAACGAAAGAAAAGGTAGTACTACAGTTAACACAATGCTAAATTACTGACAAGTTTATTTTTGCATTTGATTTACTGAACAGCACTACACTTACTTCCGTATATTGTCTTACTGGCTAACACCTTACGAGGTCTTACGACAATGTTTGAACTCAGGGAGCTTATAACAGGCATTTTACAGTTTACTATTTTTTTCCCACTGGAAACAGTGCTTGCCAGAACAGGATCTAAAGGGTGATGGTAAGAATATGGACTCCCCAGACAGTTAAAAAAAGATTGGGCGAGGACTTTGCGAAAGTACCAAAGCTGAGGGGTACATTGACCGTTCTAGTTGTCTAACTGGTTTGTCACTAAAACTAAATATGTGCAATTGTATTTCACAAGTTTTCTTATTCATACCTTTAGCTAGCTCAGTGCAGGCCTTTAAATTTGATTTGACATTCTTCATGGCCTCAAGATCATTCGCTTTCACTGGAACGTTTATAACTTCAATACATCCAACGTTTTTCGCTAGAGTGTCAAACCACGATGGTTGAAAGTCAAAATAATCTTTGCCTAGATAAAAGATAAATCAATTTTTGTTTTAGTTATGATGGCAATGCTGAGAATTTCGTTTAAGCATAAAGGTACCTGGGATTTTTAGCTTACCAAACCAAAGTGAGTTAAATTGAGCGAGACACTTTTCTAAACCGCCGCATAAACCGTGATCTTGAGCAAGGAAGCAAGCTAACTCTTTTTAATTAAATTACCTCCTCCGAAAAAGGGTTGATCTGACTGGATAAGTCACGAGTCTTTAATGCAGAAGAAATCGTCACAGTTTGAGCTTAAACAAAGTTGGAAGCAGGGATGTGTGTTCGTTTTGTAACGCCTCTAGCTATCTTGGAAAAAAAGTTCACCTTAATACCAGACGGGTTTGTCACTTTCAGAATACACTACTTCGTATAGATGTGGACTATCACTTATATAGAATGGTATTTTACAGTTTTCCATCTTTATACCTTTAGCTGGCTCAGATGTGGGGGCCTTTGAATTTGATTTAGCATTCTTCATGGCTTCAAGATCTTTTCCTTTAACTGGAACGTTTTCAACTTCAAGACATCCAGCGTTTTGGGATAGAGAGTCAAACCATGACGGTTGAAGGTCAAAATAATCTTTGCCTCGATATAAAATAAATTAAGTTTTGTTTTATGATTGCAATGTGGAGAATTTCGTTTCCACATAAAGATACCTAGGATTTTAGCTTACCGAACCAAAAGTGAATTAATTTCAGCGAAACACTTTTTCTAAACCGCCGCAAAAACCGTGACCTTGAGCATTCGATAAAAGAACAAGCTAACTCTTCAATTAAAGCTACCTCCTCTGAAAAATGATTGATCTGAGTGGGTAAGTCACGAGTCTTGAATGCAGCAGAAATCATCACAGTTTGAGCTTGAACAAAGTTGGAAGCAGGGATATGCGTTCGTTTTTACGTCTTTAGCTTTCTTGGAAAATAAGTTCACCATAATACCAGAGGAATCTGTGTTATTTTTGTATGATGTAACACCTCATGAAGTTGTTCACTGAATTTGAGTCAGGCCAGTACATTGCAAAAGTACTAAAGCTGAAGGGTACATTGACAATTCTAATTGGCTTAATAGGTTCTTCACGCTCAGAAGACACTACTTCGCACAGATGTGGACTATCACCTATGTAGAATTAAAGTTTCCTTCTACATACCTTTCTTCATGGCTTCAAGATCTCTTGCTTTAAGTGGAACGTTTTCAACCTGAAGACATCCAACGTTTTTTGATAAAGTGTCAAACCATGATGGTTGAAGGTCCAAATAACCTTTGCCTAAATAAAAGATGATTAAAAAATCAAAGCCGATAGATGGAAGAACATGTTATCAATTCTGAGTATCTAACTGTTTTCTGACTCTTAAGACTGCACTGCTTTCGCACGGGTGTGGACTGTAGAGGAATGGTAATTTACAAGTTTTCTTCTTCATACCTTTAGCTTGCTCAGTGAAGGCCCTTGAAGTGGATTTAACATTCCTTATGGTTTCAAGATCTTTTGCGCTAACTGGAAAGTTTTCAAATCTGAAACATCCACCGTTGTTGGATGGAGTGTCAAACCATGATTGTTGAAGGTCAAAGTAAGCTTTGCCTAGTTTAGAAAAAAAAAAAAAAGAAGCAGAAATAAAAATAAAAGTGCATGGAAGAACATTTAATGAAATAAAAATATTTATTTTTAGTGAAAGATGATGCAGACCCCTCTTTCCTCTCCAACTACGTCCCATTACGCTTCCATGGAACACAAAATGAGTTCATAAAAACAAGGCAGTCGTATTAACCGCGTTGTCACCACTCAGTTGATACGACGCCATCCCAATTTACATACTCACCATTAAATATTTGTGGTTTGCTCCGGGACTCTTCTACTTCCGTTTTATTCTTCTGGACAGTAAAATTAAAGCCCCCCTCGAGCTCGGCAATGTTCTTCTTTGCCTCCTGTAGCTTTTTGTCTATTGATGCCATTTGCTTAACAAAATCAGATTGAGTTCTTTGCACAGTTTGTTTTAGCTGGGACAGTTTTCCTTTGAGATCAGCAATGTCTTTGTCTGTCCCAAAGAGAGTTTGTTTAAGAAAGGCGATCTCCTTCTCTTTAGCTGTTAAAAAACAAATGAATATTTTAAGTACTTAGAATATTAGATTGAACAAATTCAAGGTTTGAGTGATAAGGTAAACTGGGAAAACACAAGAAACGGAACTTTTTATGACGGAACGAGAAGCAGTAGGGAGGGGGGAGGGGGTAAACGACTTATTATCAGTGGAGCATCGGTAACTCCTTGTAATCCGCGCGCACTTTTCTTTTCATGCATGCGTGACCACATAAAACTAACCGTTAATCTCTGTTTCAAGGTAGATGATCTTCTGTGTTAGTTGTTCCTTTTCTCTCGCAGACTGAAAAGAAAATTTGCATATTGATTTCTTAATTTACGAAATTAGAAGAGAGCAAAAAAGCTGGGATACAAAGCACTATCAACTTCCTATCCAGCTTGAAGATGGTGGAATGTCGAAGAGTGGCGTCATAATCTAAAAATCTCATTTGCGCGAGCTTTTTCATGTCTCCACGAAGAAAAAAATGTTCAAACTCATTTAACTGAACGCCTTAAATGCAGAAAAGTTCTAGTTGCGTTGAATGTTTCTCCAATGTTGGACGGACTTAAAATTGAGCTAATTTTGGAGGAACCGTTTTACAAGTGAAATCGGAACTAACTACGACCTATTTTCAAAGCTTATATATTGAATCAGGTAGTCTTGCGCGTTTGCCTTTAAAATCTTTTGAACTTCCTTTTTTCTTGCTCCTTCGGATAACAAATTGTAACTTTTACAATAACTAAACCTACTTTTTAAGGAAAGAAAAAAGAAGTGTAATGATGAGAAACGCCCACCTCATTAGCCATGATCCGTGAACCATGTGAGGCCTCTAAAGGCTCATGATAATCCTCAGCAGAACGATTTGTGAGATTGACTTCTTCATCAAATATTCTCGCGGAACAGGATTTCCTCACAGACTCTTTGTCACCTGAGTTGTTTTTGTTCATTTTGTAACTGATGTTTTCATTCAAACTATTCGATAAACTAGAAAAATTCATTCTCTTTCACGGTGCTTTAGCATGAACTGAACTCTATGTGCGAAACAAAGTTTCGATTTGTTTATGACTAGTTGCATGGTAACGTGTTTATGCCGTCACTTTATGGCATCACATCGGAGTCGAAGCATTAAGTCTGGGCACTAGAATTTTGTTGAAGCCAACCATATTTGGCCATTATAATGCTTTTATAATGTTAAATCGATAATGGATAACACGTGAAATATCAGCAGACAACGATGTACATAGAATCCTTCACAGCAGGATAATTGATGTCATTGAGCGGGTTTCCCTACGTCCAAAGGAAAATGTGGGAACATTAAGTACATTGTTTAAAGAATGCTTACTCCGTGTCCAGAGTGCCAGCGATCACGAATGTGAAAATACCGAAAACAAAATAACTCCTGAGGACTTTAGGGGTGATGGCTTTTACGGCTAACGGTTTTAACGGTAACGTTTTACGATTAACTTTTAATACGACTAACGGTTAAAAATTCGTCAATTTTATACGTCTAACCGCAAATTTTCTTTGCCGTTTTACTTCGACTGAGTGCCTTCCAATAACCTCCCCTCAAATTTAAGCCGAAATGTTAAATAAGCACCCGGGCGCCTATTCGAGGAAATAGGGTAACTGATTTAGTTTGAGCAGAAGCCCAGAAATTACCCTTTGCATAAAAAGAAAAGAATGCTGACATTTGTAGAAAGGAACAAATTCACGAGCGAAAACGAAATACATGTTTCATCCTGTGCCAGGGCCTGTTAACATGGAGGTAAGGGACCCCAGATAGGTGATGTAACCCGCTTAGCCGTGATAGAAAAATGGCCCGCGTTTACATACAATCTCACAACCCCGGGTTGCTGGGGTGAAGTTCCTCGAGGTTGTAGTCGCGCTTGCATTTAGTGAGTTTAGATGTCACTTAATAGCGAAGTGAGGTAAAACGGTGCCGTTTATTTTTAAACGTTTATCAATTTTCATTTATTTTCCTCTAAGGTTTTCCCCAAAAGTCGACATGTTAACCGTTTCTGATGGTATGACGTCTTCACTTTGGCATAACAAAATCATTCAACACTGCCAGGGCTAATAAATTAGAAGATTCTATTTGACTGAGAGCTAAAATAGAATTATGGTTTAGTCTTCCTCTTCGACATAGGTGAATTGTTCTGAAAGTGAATTGAATATTTCTTCGGAGCGATTAAGCCTCCTGAACACCTGCAGGAGAATTGTCGCTTTCTTCAGTAGGGTTCTATGCTTTGACACTCATCTGTCTCAAGAAAGGCCCCGTGGCCCAATGGATAAGGCATCTGACTTCGAATCAGGAGATTCCAGGTTCGAGTCCTGGCGGGGTCGCTGTTGTTTTGGTGAAATAATCTTTGTATCTTCTGAATTTCTTTCATCCTTTTAATCGCTTTCATGAAGTTATTAGTCTGGATAAGAAATTAAGTTATGTTTGGTAGAAGAACATCGCTACACGAGCTTTTCAAAGAAGTTATTTGTTTTTGCATTCTGATTCCGGCTTCGAATTCTATAATATACGACATAAGTCATCCTTTGGTGAAATAGTGCCTCCACCGGAAATCCTTCCGTATCTACCATGGAAATTGGTTTAATTTATCACTGATCATTAATTATTTCTGTTCTCCTCAATGAAGAGTCAAATCAATGTGATAATGTAGGATGATGAAAAGAAAATGAAGGAGACGTACTCTCACATATTCCAGAGGGAAAGACGTGATCCAGGGTTTATCTTAGAATTTTGCAATATCAAACAAAAGTCGAGACTGTTGTCAGTGTTTACAGAAGTATTTTACTCTTTTTCTAAGGTTAAATCAAGCTCTGCTTATTTCATCCCATTACCAGCAATGCGAGTCATATTGCGTCTCAAATACCGTACGTCAATCAAAGATTACTTTCAAAATGGCTTCCCGAAGATACAAAGAAATGTATGGGATCTGAAATAAAATCTTATTTTTTGGCAGTTTAAATAAATTAAATTCTACGTGCCGACCTCTCGTTGATAAATAATATGCAACTGCACTACGAAGCGAAAGTTTTTTCACCGTTTCGTTTATTCGTCGAGCCGCGGAATAGAGGTAAAATAACAAAGATCTTCGGTTGTACTTCCTTTATAGTTTCATCCAAATACCTTCACTTACCTTCACTTCCATGCTTTGAGCTGTCCGTGTGTTTCATGCTTTCATCGGTGCCGACCCCTCAAAATTTTCTTCAGTTTACGATCTTTCAAATACGTTAAATAAAGCCTTCCATGATAAAATAGGAGGCCGCAAATCAATCTTGAAAATAGGGCTTTTTCACTATTAGACGTAACCTTTACCTGAGCTCGCGAATGTCCTGTAGGACGCGAAGAACGACCACTTTCCATCGTTTTCTTCGTGAAAAAAGTCGCCATATTTACTTCAGCTTAGCAGCCTAGCATTTCCACGCTTTTTACCGCTGTTTTAACAATCTGCAGACTCCTACAAGCGCCAAATCGCGCCAATTATAAAAAACAAAACTTGTATCACTGTGAGCTCATTCCAGTCTGAATCGTCAAAAAATGTCTGATGTTTTGCTCGATTTCGAAAAGAAATCCCTAAATTTCAACTTAAGGTCACTGAATCTCCTCTTTCTTATATAAAACAGCAATGCGTTCAAGAATCTCGAATAGCGAGATAGAGCTGTTTATGAACTTACTTCGATTGTAGTATAAATTTCATCCGAAGTAAAATATAGCTGCAGGAACATAAAAGGGTCAATACACATACCTCGTTCTTCAATCTTCGCCGGCTGATAAGTCTCTCCACAAAATAAACTTTAGATCCGCTTTTAAATTTTCTCCTTCCTTTCAAATGAACTTCTAAATCCACTGTAGAAAGAACATTTAGTGCTTTATAATCAACTCGATTCCTCCGCGGAAATCTACTTCGCTCCATGTTTACATGAAATCTGACGCCATAGCGCATGAACAGTAGAACCTGAAGAAACTACTGACCTCGCGGACCGCGGGAGTAAAATGTCTCGGATTGCTGGTAATGTTGTGCAAAGAATCGAGAGAAAATCTGGTAGAAAAAAAAAGAGAGAAACGACTAGAACGAAAAATAAAAATATTTTATTTCTCAGGTCTTGTATACATTACAACAGCAAAAGCAAGAGCAATAAGAATTTAATGAATGAGTTCTTTGTTGATTGGGATAGATTTCATTTATAAGCATAATTCACGGTTTCTTTTGTGCTTAGAGCATTCTTCCATGCAGAAAGGCCCCGTGGCCCAACGGATAAGGCATCTGACTACGAATCAAGGGATTCCAGGTTCGAATCCTGGCGGGGTCGCTGTTATTTTGACTCTTTTATCATTTTAATTGCCTTTCACCAGATACCACAGGTGAGGCATAGTTAAGTTTGCTGGAGTAGAATTGCTGCATTTGCTTTAAAAAAGAATTGAAAGTTTATCTAATATTCTCTGGCTTCTATAATACAAGTCATCCTTTCGTGAAATGCAACGGTTGAGTTATGATGCTTGTCAAATTTGCTTGTTTTCCTAGGCTTCATTGCGGACTCTGGGGAAATGTTTGACCCGGCATTTCAAACAGCTGGAGCGATTAAGATTTTTGGTTCAAAGGAGACTGGAGTGAGGAAAATCTTGCATTTGGGATAAAATCTTTTGAGTTATTTGTTTACGCAAGAGAACGGTGCTTTGAATGCAGTAGATCCTAGCAAGAAGTACCGCAGGTTGTAAAAGGTGTGATTCGTCAGAGCCCAGATTTCTAGGAGTTCTGGAAAATTTTGGCGATCAAGGCAACTGACAAAGGTACCCGTGAGCTATCGGTGCAATTTCTTGGCGATCATTTTTGGGTAAAAGGTTAAATCTCTTCTCGTCCTGGAAAAGATGACGTTTGGGCAAGACGTCTATGGACAAATAGTTGAATATATTTGCAATATTCATTTACTAAGAGATTATAAATAGTTTGTAATCTCTTGCTTCTTACTGAAATTAAACCAGAATAAAAATAATAATTTCCAAAGGTTCAATATCTAAACTGTATCGCGATACGATAAAATGCGAAATTCTCCAGTATATAATGTCATCAGCTTCACAGCTACAGTTCGATACGAATTGTTGTTCTTATTTTACAATATTTTCAACGACTTGAATCACAAAAAAATTCAAAATTTTTCCCTCCGAGTAGTGATAAATCTCTTAGAAAAAACATTTTTCGTTCGTTTGTAGATTTTTACAGAGTTTTCATTCAACACATGGCTACCTCTTCAATTTAGAAAAATCAAACCTAAATAACACTACAAATTCCCAAAAGTTTTATGAATCAACTGTAATTTGATGCGTTAAGTTAATTAATAAACTTACAGTGTATTTAGGAACCTCAAGCAAACTAAGAGGGCTACGAAGACGTGGCAACACAAAAGATTAAATGGGCAAAACAATAGCTTAGCGCGTACATTTTAGAACTTTGTACATTTCTAAGCCGTCGTTTGTATGACCACAAAGTGAAATAACCAAAGTTTGCATGGTCTGAGAACAGAACCGATGTGGCAAATTATTTCAGTTTTCATTTGGAACTCAATGCAGTAAGGGACGGTAAACACATCCAGCCTTTTGCAAAATTCTAACTACAAACATAAATTCATTTTCAATCGACATCTTGTTGGGCGTTTCCGTCCTAACTGCAGGGCGTGAAATTAATTTTTTTTTTCTGATAGCCACTTGGCTCCTAAATTGTTCAGAGTGGTAGCCAATTCAAAAAAAGTTGGTCGCCATTTTCAAAGACTAACAAAACCTTTTGTTACGCTGTCAGCTTTGTAGATGGACCCTCCAAGATTAAGTTAGGGAAAAGATCTTTAACGTGCTACAAAGTGGACACTAGGATGGATGATATACAGCGTTCAAGCTCACCTAAATCCAAGATGGCGTCTAGTTATCGATCGAGATGCATGTGCTGCGTTTTGGAAACAAAATTAACGAGGAAGTTTGCCGCGGATTTATCTTTATTTTGGCATATCTTTTTAATTCACTATATCTCTTGGTAAGGTTATGATGAAACATTCTAGTCGCATTGGCGCCTGTATTAGGCGCGATTTAACGCCATGAGGGGGGCTGCACGTTGATGACACAAGGTCATACATCGGGAGCGCAAATTGATATGTAAGTAAACGATGAATGCAATGCAAAATATGGATACTTCTTTGTAGCGATATAAATCTGTTCACGAGAACAGAAATCCAGAGAAACTGTTTACTAGCACATAAGATGTCAGAGCTTGTGTCTTTGCAATCAAAACGTTTAAAAGTTCCAAGTCCGTAGGCTCCCCATTTGAAACTTATGACAAATTAACCATCGAGAGAAAAAAATCGCACATCATTTAATACTGTTTAATTCCATTTAAAAATGGAATTAAAACCACTTGTACTTGTTAAAAGTTTCCAGAGCATTGTGGAGACCTAGATTAGAAATCAAGTCATATTTGGTAGCGGAGCATTACTACACGTGCTTCTCAAACTAATTATGTATTTTTCCATTCTGATAGGCTCCGACTGATGAGTATGTCCAAAAAGCGCTTGTCATCAGAACCGAAATTGGCGACAGAGGAGAGGAAGCATCATGTTATGGAAACCTAGGTAATGTGTTTAAGTCGCTTGGCCAATACGACAAGGCTGAAGAATATCACCAAAAGGCGCTTGTCATCAGAACTGAAATTGGCGACAGAGGAGGAGAGGCATCATGTTATGGAAACCTAGGTACTGTGTTTAAGTCGCTTGGCCAATACGACAAGGCTGAAGAATATCACCAAAAAACGCTTGTCATCAGAACCGAAATTGGCGACAGAGAAGGGGAGGCAACTAACTACGGAAACCTAGGTACTGTGTTTAAGTTGCTTGGCCAATACAACAAGGCTGAAGAATATCTCCAAAAAGCGCTTGTCAACACAACTGAAATTGGCGACAGACCAAAGGAAGCATCATGTTATGGAAACCTAGGTACTGTGTTTGGGTCGCTTGGCCAATACGACAAGGCTGAAGAGTATCACCAAAAAGCGCTTGTCATCAGAACTGAAATTGGCGACAGAGGATGGGAGGCATCATGTTATGGAAACCTAGGTACTGTGTTTAAGTCGCTTGGCGAATACGACAAGGCTGAAGAATATCTCCAAAAAGCGTTTGTCATCAGAACTGAAATTGGCGACAGAGGAGGGGAGGCAACTGACTACGCAAACCAAGGTACTGTGTTTAAGTCGCTTGGCCAATACGACAAGGCTGAAGAGTATCTCCAAAAAGCGTTTGTCATCAGAACTGAAATTGGCGACAGAGAAGGGGAGGCAACTGACTACGCAAACCTAGGTACTGTGTTTAAGTCGCTTGGCGAATACGACAAGGCTGAAGAATATCTCCAAAAAGCGTTTGTCATCAGAACTGAAATTGGCGACAGAGGAGGGGAGGCAACTGACTACGCAAACCAAGGTACTGTGTTTAAGTCGCTTGGCCAATACGACAAGGCCGAAGAGTATCTCCAAAAAGCGCTTGTCATCAGAACTGAAATTGGCGACAGAGGAGGGGAAGCATCATGTTATGGAAACCTAGGTACTGTGTTTGGGTCGCTTGGCCAATACAACAAGGCTGAAGAGTATCACCAAAAAGTGCTTGTCATCAGAACTGAAATTGGCTACAGAGAAGGAGAGGCAACTAACTACGGAAACCTTGGAATTGTGTTTAGAACTGTTGGTGATTTTGAAGCTTCGGAAGTATGCTTGGAGAAAGCTTTATTGATATTTAGAGATATTGGAGATGGAAGAAAAGAGTTTGATATCCTTCTAGGTTACGCCGTTTTGTATTTATATCAATATAAAATCAAAGACTCCTTGTTGTGTCTTCATCTGTACATTGAAAAGTATAAGGAGCTGAGATATTTCTTGGGCGCCAATGATCAGTTCAAAACATCATTTCTGGAGGACACAGGAATGTTCCCCTACAAGTTGCTTTGTACTTTGCTTTGTGACACCGGAAATGCTCGGGATGCTCTTTATGTTGAGGAGTTGGGTCGAGCTAGAGGCCTATCAGACTTAATGGCAGAGAAGTACTCGGTTGAAACGCACATCTCTGCTAATCCACAATCTTGGGTTGGAATTGAGAACATTTTAAGAAAGAGAAATAACTGTACTTGTCTGTACATTTCTTATTTTCAGAATCGTCTGCATTTGTGGATCTTGAAAACAAGTGGAGTCCTTCACTATAGAAGAGTATCACCAGAAGAGAACCTAGTTCAGGCTGGGTTGCCCAAAGATTTGTCTTTGAGTCAATTTTTGGATGATAATTTCCGGAGTCTTGGTATTTTGCCTACTAAAGATTGTGAAGATCGGTCTTTAAATACGATTAAACTGCAACCTCTCTCCCCCGCGCAAAAGAGCTCAGCAAGATTACGACTCGTGGAGGAGGACGAGGACGAGGACGAGGACGAGGACGAGGACGAGAAAGTGATTTCAAGTCTATCTTTGTGTTACAAAATGTTTATTGCTCCCGTTAATGATTTTCTTGAGGAGCCTGAAGTCGTTATTGTTCCTGACCGCAGGTTGTACAAAGTTCCTTTTGCTGCCCTGAGTGAAAAGGAGGGAGCCGAATACCTATCGGAGACTCATAGGATCTGTGTCATTCCTTCTTTGACGCCGCTAAAGATCATTCAAGATAGTCCAGAAGACTATCACAGCAACACTGGTGCCTTGGTAATAGGCAATCCCAAGGTTGATGGGCTGCAACCATTGCCATGTGCAAGAAAAGAAGCGGAGATGGTCGGACGACTGATGTGTGTTCCACCTCTAGTTGAAGAGAAAGCAACGAAGCAGGCGGTATTTGAGCAGGTAAGTTCAGTGAGCTTGATACACTTTGCTACCCATGGTAACGCGGAAAGAGGAGAAATTGCACTCTCCCCCATTCCTACTCCCAACAGTGGCAACGCTATCCCACCGCAGGAAGCTTACATGTTGACGATGGCTGATGTCTCACGAGTGAAAGTCAGAGCTAAACTGGTGGTACTTAGCTGCTGTCACAGTGGAAGTGGAGAGATAAGAGCCGAAGGAGTTATAGGAATTGCCCGTGCGTTCTTAGGATCTGGTGCTCGCTCTGTATTGGTAGCGCTGTAGGCCATTCCAGACTCAGCTACAGAGAAGCTGATGGGTCGGTTCTACGAACACCTCATTGAAGGAGAAAGTGCCAGTGAATCCCTTCATCAGGCCATGAAGTGGATGAGAAAAAAACGGCTTGAACAAAATGTCTGAGTGGGCGTCGTTTACGCTGATTGGAGATGATGTGAAACTCGAGTTTGACAAGCAGCGGCAAGACTCAGTGAGAACAGGTATTTCATAAATTAAAGTTAGATTAGATGTGAAGATGGCTTTGTCTTATTGGTCGTTGACTGGATGGGGATCCTTTGTTACCTTGAGCATCAGGCTAGTTTAATGTATATCTTTATCTTTATCTATATATATATATAACTAACTGCAGACAGTACTGTTTCGGCCTTCTGGGCCTCATCAGTGCAGTGCTGATGCTAGGATGGAGGTAAGGCAATATAGCCACCCCAAGTGATCTCACACATGTGGGATCACCTAAGCCATGCCAGAGTGCTCAAACTAGAAAAACTAGTGAGCGTGCATAATGCTAGCAGCAATGACTCATCCTAGTAGAGTGCTCAATTTGGACATGAAAGCAAAGCTTTGTATGCCAAAGAGCTATATAACTATATATATATATATAGATAAAGATATACATATATGTATATCTACACACACTTTTTTTTCCTTTTTGGTGAGTTACTATCTTCGCTCTATAGTGTAAAATATAAAATCTCACAGATGCCTCTCTACTAATGAGATACAAGTAATAGCCATTTATTTTTACATATTGTGATTGGTATAATGGTATTTGCTTTATATCCAAAATATTAATTGAGGTAATAATAAATTGGGTTATTTAAAATTTTTTCTCAGTACAGGAAGAAAGACCCCGACAGAGTAAATAATGACAAGAACTCGAAGGGAACAGAGCAAAAAGACTTTTAGATGGATAAATTAAATAGGAACAAGAAGAGAAAATACTCTATCCAGTTTTTCCTTGACATTAAAAAAACAGCTATCCCAGGTTAGGGGAGATTTATTCCAATTTTTTGTGCTTTCTTTTCCAATATTCTCAGGAGGAGGTACTGGTTATGTACTCAATAATTTTTTGTTTTTCACGCAAAAATTATATTCTGATATAATAAGCACGAAACAATGTTGACCTACGTAAGGCTTTTGAGTAAAACGAATTCAGTAAAGTTAACCGGATTCTGTTTTTTTTTTCTTTTTTTTTGACATCTCAAAACATTTGTAAACCTTTAGCTGAAATTCTAATAATAATCTATTTCACAAAAGTTTCCCTGATGGCCGGCATTAAACTATGATTTGATATCATGTTGTTAACTTGTGGCTACGCGATACGGAGAAATGGGTTTACCGTGGAAAGTCTGATATGCAAATATTCACTCGCTCACTGATTCACTCTGGTGTGAGACTGTTGGGAATAAATAACTTTGATCTTTTTTTTCTTGAAAAAGAAACAGAACTTACGGTTTTACTAATCACGTGAGGAAACTCGAAAACTTTTTGTTCTGGCCGTCGAAACATATATGTAATGAAACTCGTCAGGATTAGGCATCCTTATTTCTTGTTCATGAATAATACAAGACATGTTTTAATGTCTTGCTTAAAAGCTTGAATTATTTTCTCTATTTTTTGCTTAAAAGCTTGAATTATTTTCTCTACAAAACTGTCGAAGGGGAAGAGACCGCGACGCAAAACATGAAAGAGTTAACAAAGACAAAGGTTCAACGTGAATAACCTAACATTTCATTTTGGGAACTTTGAGGATCGATTATTCCTTTTCAAATCACGGGCGAAAAGCTTGTATTAATACAGAACAAATTTTCAAGTGAGAATCTAAGATAAATATTTAGGTATTGTAGCTTTTCGCAAGTTTGACGTCGGAATCCGATATAGATATTATTTTTCCTACGCGTAGATTGCTTTTGAAATTCATGGCAAGGGGAGATATTTCGCCACGTGAAATTGACTTTTATTAACACGCACGTTGTTTGTGAAGTCTTAGATGCTGTGTCGTAAATATAATTGTCCACATGATGCCCTAACGTCGATTGCATTTACCTTTCCAAGGCGATGTCACTAAACTTCTGGATAAAAAGAAAAGCCCGCAAGATTTGGCCGAATTACCCTTAATCTACCCCCTTACAGTTACGTTGGTGTTAATGTCTATTTAGTCACCGGAAAAATTCATTGTAAAGGACAATAAAATTTCGATTAGTTCAGCCAATCCCTTGAGCACGCATATCGTCAAGTGATGTTCATTATGTTATTTCATAATTTTCTTCCTTTGTCAACTCGTTCTCCATAATATTCACTAGAGTAGTTTGATGGTTACTGGTATGTCGTCAATATGAGCGTTCACTTATCTCACGGACGGGCGGAGATTGTATGCTTGGCTTGTAAGGGTCATAACTTTTTAGTGACTGGCCAAGGGGGGAACTGGCAAGTCATCTGTAGTAAGGGAAGTCATCAACAATTTTCGAGCGGCTGGAAAAAGGTTTCTGTGGTATTTTCCAGTG